CGCGCGCCCGCCCGGCAGCAGACGCGCCCAGCCTCGCCCCGCCGTTACTGCTGCCATCCAGGGACTTCCCAGCCCACGTCCCCGTACCATTGGCTGAATGCGCGCTCAGGAGATCCCACAGCTGCCGGACTTCTGGACTCCACATCCTGAGATCCACAAAGTTTCCTCCCCCACCCCCCGGGGCTGCTCCTGCTGGCCGCCGCTGGAGAGACACTGCCCACCTTTGCCGCCTCTTCTCCCCACGACCCACAGCACAGGATGTCTCCGACTGCTTCTCCCCACGCTATGGACACCTCCTTCTCTCCAGACTCAGATCCGTTCCCAAGTTCTGGGGTAGAGGTGAACCACAAAGAGCGCTCTGGTCTGTGTCCACCCTTCCTTTACCTGGGGCCTTGGCAGGTGGTGTAGAAGGTCCTGGCCAGAAGCTGGACCGTTCAGCCCTCCCCTGTCTGGAGTCTGTGATGCAGTTCTTAAGGCTCTTGGGGCCGCATGGGTGGTGGTGAGTTTGGTATAGCTTGGCAGAGAGGCAGAGGCCTGGGGACTTACTGGTAGGAACTGGGGGCCCAAGCATCCTGCTCCCTGGCCCCGCCCCAACCCCATCTAACTCCCTCCTACCCTTCATTGAAGTAGGGCACAGTGACAAAGGTTTGAGTTCTGGACTCTCCCTTCTTATACCTGGTAGTGGAGGAGCGGGGGTGGGGAGAACTCTGACTGGAAGGTTATGTGAGTGTGTGTGTGATATGTATATGTGTTGTGTACGTACATAACACTCACACCATGTATACATGGTGGTGGTCGCAGAGAAGGAATGATCCAGGAGGCCCTCTAGTGGAACCAGTCTTCTAAGCAGGTCTTAATTTTTTTCAAGACAGGCTTTTTGGAAGACACCTCCATTTTCATCAAAAAAAAAAAAAAAAATAGTTGCTGAGTAATAAGGTCTTGAAGCATTATCAGTGCCTCTGAGCTGGAAACCTGCAGTGGGAATTGTCTTTCTGCGTCTGTATTCCCACCAATCTTAAAAAATGCAAGGGCCTTGCTGCTCTTCATCTTTCATCTCTTCCTGGACCAGTTTCTTAGTAATAATAAAGTCAATAATCACTGTTGAGGGTCTGGTATGCACCAGGTCCTGCACTTATTTAATCAGGACATCAAAGACTTAGCCCAGCCGAGGGGCTGCACCAGAGTGGCTGTGTGGGCTGGGTGTGGGTGTGTGCACACCCACGTGCAGAGACATTCAAGCCACGCACAGGGACTCCCATTCTAAGTCAGTGCATATAACAGACAATGTAAGTAAGAACAAGTCTCCTGACCCCTCTTCCAATCAGCTTTCTGCCCCTGAAGCCCTCAGCTAGGAATTCTAGAATGATGTTTGTCTTCAGGACCTCAGCTTTCCTTGCAAAAACAGACTCTCAGGGTCATCATGCTATATGTGACCTGTTTCCCACTCACTCCACCTCAGATACATCCCTACAACAAGTTAAAGATGCGCCTTGTAAGGTATTTTTTTTGAGATTTTAACGACAGTCAAGAGGTGATGTCTCTAAGAAGGAGTAAGTTAGAATCAGTCGCACTCAGAGGTCCTTTGTGTCTTCTTTATGATCTGTGCTTCATCATACCCAAGTCAGTTACTGGTGGGGGTGGGGGAAGAAGGGCCAAGAAACATCTAAGGAGGAGGCGTGTAATGCCTATGGGTCCAGGTGCTCACTTCTTTAATCAACCACATCATAAAAATCAGAAAGAAAGAAACCACAATGAACAAAGGGAAAGGAAAAAACAACAGCCCTTTTCTCCCCAGCCTCTTCTTTCCTCTCTTCCTCCTCAGGGTGGGGGGCCACATCCGGGCTGAGTGCTGGGTCCCAGGCAGTTCTGCTATCAGACAATTGAGTTTCACTTCCTGTCAACCCAGAGCGCAGGCAGGATGTCTTGGGGTATGGTGGGGTCCTGTAAAGGTTGTCAACAGGGGCTGCTTCTGCGCTCGCTCTGCAGACAGGTCTACCTGCAGTCCGTGGGAATAGCACCTTCAGGCATGCTCTAGTTCTGTCTCTATCCCACACTACCACCTCTTATCACTAGTAAGAAGGCAAAAGAGGGCTCTCCCTGGTGGTGCAAGGGGTTAAGTCTGGGCACTATGAAGCTTTCTGCAGCCACTGCACCATGAGCTCCATCCCCTGGCAGGTAGTGAGCCACAGGGCGTAGCTGCCCTCTCGTTTCCCCGCTGCTCCCCTCAGCAGTGCATTTCAGTGAATCTGCCTGTTCTGTCCCCACCGTCTCTGCACCTTAACCTCCTGCACCTTTGGCGGACACCCAGCTCTTGTATGTGCAAATAGGTCTTTAAAAAAAAAGAAAAACAAAAAGGTTCCAGGGTGTCCGCAGGGAGAAAGGCCATGGGTCAGAACACTTGCAATAACTATGTGCTTAATGCAGATCAGTTTTTATTTTTTTAAGATGCGTTTTATTTACACATACAAGAACTGGGGTACAGGCCAGAGGTTTCACCAGAGACAGGCCAGGGACCAGAGCAGGTGGATGGACTGAAACACTGCAGAGGGGAGTCAGGAGAGGTCTGCTGCGCCCTGTGGGTCCCTCCTTGGCCGGGGATCGAACTCGTGCCGCAGTGGCTGGCAACAGCCTTGATTGTGCTGAGACTCAAGCCCTGCGCCACCAGGGAGGCCCACAACTCAGTTTTCAAGTGCATCTTTCTGAGGCCTTCAAAGTGGCGCCTGGTGGACGTCTGGGCGGTGGGGCAAGGAAAGGTAAACAAGCTGGGAAAGGAGAAAACATCCAGCCTCCACTTCAAAGTCTTAGGCGGTGGCTGGTCAGCCACTGCTGCTTTGGGTTGGCGCTGCAGGCAGCCCCCGCTGCAGGTGCTCACTAACGTGAACCTTCTAGTTGCAGCGGTTATTCCGGGCGTCAACACAGCTCAACGGGGGTTTTGGGGGCGGGTAAAAGGAACGAGAAGGAATAAACCGGGGTGGCGCCGGGCAGGACCGGGCAGAGCCAGCACCTGCGGAGAGGAGTCGCCGCGGCCCCGCCCCGGCTGCGGGGAGACGGG